TCACTAGGCCAGTTTAGCAACCGACAGTTTCATTGGTTTAGAATCGTGGCTTTTGACCAATAGCTATAATGATAACAGAGTTATCTACCCACTTTGACTGGCTACCGTGCCCGTACTGTGCCCGTACCTTCTCGCGTGCGGAGGACAGATTGGCCAGTCTATCGGACATTCAGAAGACTGGTCCTTGCTGTCAGAAACACATTACGCAAGAGTCTGTTGTCTAACTAGACTCCGGTTTAGGATCGAAGTAATAAGAAAACAAAAAACAACTCAAATATATATCAATGAATTTGTTTATTTGTTGAAATATTGGCAGTCGCCCAAAATTTTTGGGGGGGCGAGTGACTACTTGACTTGTGCAATTTTCGGTCGCCCGAGCTAAACATTGGTCGCCTGTGGCGAGTGGGCGACCGTCCATTTCAGGCACCGCTGTCAGAATCAGGAAACACCCACCGGCGCTCTTCGTGACCTCATTCTTGCGCCGCAACGCTGCAACGTTTTTGCAACGCTCCAATGGCGAGGCTCGTACGGGAGTTGGAAAGCAGTGCGCCGCCTATAGCCCATAGACTGGTACTCGCTCCCACCTCTCGGCTTAGCTTAGTTACTCGATGGGTAATCGAGGTGAAGGTGGGATCGAGTACCAGTCTATATAGCCCTGTACTGGCAGCCATTTACATTTATTGGGCAACGTTAGCGAACGCGAGAATTTCGTCAGTCTTTGTGTGATTTCGCGTGACACAGCTCGGTTACGAACAGAGACAGTATGTTTTTATAACAAGTGAACACTGTTCTTGAAATGGAAACAAAGATGGAAGCTGTTGGATATGTAATCGTGCTGTGAAGGCGTGAAATCAAGCGAGCGTCGAGCGAATTTAGGGATCCCGCTTTCCTACCTGCTATATATATATAAGTGAGTGTAAGTGTGCCACAGTGCAGCCGCGAGAGCAATGGCCGCCGGCAGCGTATGTTGTACATAGGATTTGGACGGAATTTACAGGAAACTGTCGGCAATAATACTAGGTGAAAGAGAGTATAGAAACATTAAGAATTTGGTAGTAAATAGATTTCGTATTTATTTAGCATTATATTTTATTGAAACGTGCCTGTGCCTGTGCCGGTGACAATTATGTCATCACTGAGTATAGTGACAAGGCACTATAGCAAGGATTTCTATAAGCCAGAGAACTCCCAGCAGCAGCACGTTGTAATGGTTGTTCATGGAGTGTAAACATGGCGAAAGTCATCCACCTTAGGCACCTTAGGTATCACGAAGTGATGCACAGATTTCTGTGTATCATAAACTGATGCACAGACTTTCCATATATCAAGGAATGATGCAAAAACCCTAACCCTAACCTTATGTCATAAACTATAACCTTAGGTATCACGAAGTGTGTTACTGTTAGGGTTAGGGTTAGGGTTAGGGTTTTTGCATCATTCCTTGATATACGGAAAGTCTGTGCATCAGTTGATGATACACAAAAATCTGTGCATCACTTCGTGATACCTAAGTCTAAGGTGCCTAAAGTGGATTTGCGCCCATGTACATTACTGCCGCAGATGGGGTCATTGTCGTATCAGGTACTACAAATATTAGCTCTTGTACTATAGCCCGCGTTCATTAACTGCCGCAGGGCTATAGAACATTGTCAGCTAGATTTCGCAACAGCAACCTGTCACCACCTGTCTCCACGAAAAATGGATCGCAAAACGCAAAATTACCGGGCTTTAACACTTATTTATCTACATGGACATCTCACCTATCTTTTTGAACACTTTCCACAACTTTAACACCATGTATTTATCATTTTATTACTCAAAGTCAGCACTACTGGCATTCCCGTTTGAAATATTTTGGCGTGCAAACGTGTGACGTCACCGGTATTGTATATTACTGCACGCGGGAAAAATGATGTTGGGGAACTAACACTATCCCTAACCTTGGTTACCCCCCCCCCTCCCCCCTCGCCACCTCCACAACACACAAACAGCAGGACCAGTGGAAGCCACCCTGCTTTCGTAATTCGTCGTCGCGACTAATAGTTCCGGCGAAATAGTCTTGCTATGCTAAATTATACTGCGCTAAGACCTTGTACTTGTATTATTGTATCAGGTTTTTATTTCGAATTCTGTCATTGAATGTCAATCCTCTGATTTTTTTAGGAAACTGAGGTTCATGATCTATGATTTCCAGTCGTTCATTACCAGTCCACCCAAGGAGCCTATAGAAAATCGATATTCGGCACCAGCGTGATTACTGCATGAAAGAGACACGCGAATTCAAAAACGTGGCCTTTGGGTAACAATTGCTCATACAAATTCGGTCTGCCAACGAATTAATTAGCCTTGTTTATTACGTTGAAAAGTGGCATTCGTGGCTAACCATGACCTCTGTGGCCAGTATTGTCCATCTGCTGGTCTGTTGCGACCCCATTCAAGCATCAAGCTAGAATGAATTTCCGCATGAGTTAAGCCGCGCTTGACATAACTTGTGCAGGATGTATTGTTTATAGCACAGTCTTAGTATAAAAACGGTCCTGGTGTCGATCGCTTCGCCCAATAGTGTCTATCACAGCAAAGTGGAACAATGAAAGCCATGATTTTTGTTGGGTGAACCAACTGGATTCGCCTAAATCTGCCGAAACTGACTGTCGCCTTTGCACAAATTCTATTCCCAATGACACGCGTAAAATGCCTATTCTTGGATAGTGATGACATAAATGCCTCACCATCAATGTGGAGCGGTAAATAGAACGTCCTACCTGCCTTGATGTGATCGCACCTGGTGTAGCAATTCCACAGCGCTTTGAATGCTATAAAAAAATAACCGATATGCTTCGAGTGCTATTTTTTGAGGCATAGCACACAACAAGCACACGTCGGCGTTCGTTTAGCATCCACAAATTGCAAAGCCCTTTTCAATCTTTCAGAAAAATATTCAATCCATGCAAATTTGACAGCCGTTTTTATGTCCGTATGTGGCATTCTAAATACCAAAATGCTCGTCATTCACGTGCGTTTTTTTACGAATTTTTTTATTGATTCTATAGAATATCAAGTTCGTCCATAGGTGAATGCAATTTTATTTCAATGTAATCAGTTCTAGTCACGTAGGCGGACTACTGAACTATGCACCGACTTGGCATTCCCGCAAGCAGACGGCAAACAGTAATCGCCTTGAGGCGGAGGTGGGGTCGAAGAAAATTGCAAAAACTCAAAAGCCGAGACAGGCGAATATAAACAAAATTTGGGGCAATGTGTGCAGCGGTGTTTTGTCGGGACACGAATTTTTATTGAATTTGACAGATCCCCGAAAAAAACGTTTCTATACAGAACGTGACCCACTATTAATCACTACGTACCGGTTATTCCTGTTAGGTTGAGGATGTGACGCCTCATCGCCGACCAATAGAGTGGTCAGCAGCTTGTGGCAAATAAAGTAGGCGACGTTTTGTGCTGCCTTATTTTAGGCTGGCTATCGTGTGTGGCATGACACATACACATTGAAATGGGTGGATGGTTATTGGTATTTAAAACGCATTCTTCAATGTATGGTCCCCATTGGACTGCGGAGAGCTGTTTTTTCAGGCACAAAGTGGTGTCGCTTAGTAAATTCGCGATATTTTTTAACAAAGCGCCGGACAACATATGTCAATAATTTCTAATGGTGCACAGCTGAAATACATGGGTACCACCACTAGTTTAATATTGGCCACATCGGCCGAAACGAACCGAAATACTATTTTTCAGCTCCTGAAATTCAATTCTAAGTATAGGATCCTATGGAGAATTCTAATAGTGGTCTGTTCTCTGTCACGCTGAAAAAATTTTAACT